GGAATCAGAATAACGCACGAAGCCGCTCAGAGTCTTTTCTGAATGCTAAAGCTTAACCCTAGATCCTGTGAAACTGAAAAGCCTACATCTTTAAGCAGCCCTTGTTGAAAAGAGGGGAAGAGGAAATCTTGAAAGAAAGCCAACACTTCTCAGAAACCAGGAAGCACAGGGCAACCCAGTTTTACTTGTTTCAAGTTGGCTATAATTCACATTCCTGAATCCACATAATGATTTCAGAACGTATTCCACAGGAGAGGGGGGGAAAGGTAACCTGCAGCTTATCCCTTAAGCTCTTTAGCATCACAGTATCCTCTGTAATATCTCACAAAAAGCTTTGTAGCCTCAGAATAAGGGAAGAATGTCTGCCGTCTTAGGAAAAGTTTCTCACTCCAATACTGAGGCAAAAAGCTTGACAGTGTACCCAGAACTTTGCAGATATTCTGGAAAGTTCCAATTCAAAGGCCTGTTCCAGTGCAATACAATAAACGCTGGACAGCTTTCGTGGTAGTTTCTGTCCCCCTTTAAAGGAGGTTTCAGTCATGTATACTCCGAGGCCCTGTGATGAAGCCTCCCAATACGGGGTGCACATGAGACATGATACTGACCAGCCTCAAACCAAATGCCATGCAGGACCTTCTCAGACCGATTCCACAAAAGCAGTTGTCCCACCCTCGGTCTCCCATTCCCCCGGTTGTACTGCTCCATTTCCCACTATTTGCTGCGCAGCCGCATTTTGACTGGCTTCTCCCCCTGATTTCCCCCATGTCTTCTTGATCCTTCTGACCCATGTCTCCCCCCGATTTCCCCCGCATCTTCTTGATCCTTAGGGGGAGATGTGGGTCAAAATGTGGCCACGCAGCATATAGTGGGAAATTGAGCAGTACAACCAGGGGTCATTTCCTGCAGGAGCGCACAGGAGCAGAGTTCCGGCAGTAAAGAGCCCAGGGGGTGGGCACATGCAACAAGCCTCGCCCCCTGCTCCCAGCAGCCCCGGGCCAGGAGGAGCAAGAAGCAGCCAAGTAAGTTGCAGAGCTCTCCCCGCCCGCCTTTCCCAGCAGCTCCCTACCTTCCTTCATTCCTTCCCCTCCTTCTTTCCTTCTCTCCCTTTCCCTCCTTATTTCCTTCTCTTCCTCTTTCTTTCTCTCCTTCCTTCCTTCCTGCACAGATCTGTGTGTTTCCCCCCCGCCATAGCTAGCAATCCGAAACAATCCAGTGGCAGCTTTAAGACCAAGTTTTATTCAGGTACAAGCTCTCCCTCCTCTGCAAGGACAGATCTGCACGCCCCCCCCAATAGCTAGCAATCCAAAACAGTCCAGTGGAGCCTGAGCGGTGGGTGTTGCCTTCTGACACACTTCCAGTGATCTCAGGGGGCGTGGCATATGCAAACGAGTTATGCTAATAAGTTATGCTAATGAGCTCCTGCACCTCATTGTCTATGAAATAACCCCTGAGTACAACCAAGGGAAACAGGAGACCAAGGGCGGGACAACAGCTTTTGCAGAATCGGTCTCAGTTTCATTGGGACTTCAAGACAAAAGTCTGAAGACCTGTACTGAGAATTAAGCAAAAGAGTCAGTGTAGTGTAATGTGTAGCGTGTTGGGCTTGGGTCTGGGAGACCCAGGGACAACCCCCCAGTTTTTCACGGAGTTCGCTGTGTGACCTTAGTGGGCCGCTCACACTTGCTTTTGGCCTAACGTCTCTCACAGGACTACTGTTGTGAGGATAAAATTGAGGAAGAGAGAATGACATATGCTTCTTTGGGTTCTCATTGGGGTGAAAAACATGGTATAAGTATAAACGGATGGTTCCCTATCTCTCTCCTTATGACCTAGCCACAGTGATCCATGCAATGGTCACCTCCAGGCTGGACTACTGTAACTCACTCTATGCTGGGCTGCCCTTGAGGCTGACTGGTTCAAAATGCAGCAGTGTGTGTCCTTACAGGGGCACCTTTTAGAGCACACATCCAACCAGTGTTCTGCCAGCTACATTGACTCCCAGTGGAGTACCAAATCCAGTTCAAGGTTATGGTATTAACCTTCAAAGCCTTGAGTGGTCTGGGACCTACATATCTGCTGGACCGCCTCTCCTGCTATGTCCCTCAAAGAACTACACTCATCAGAACAACAGCTGCTGGTGGTCCCTGGCCCTAAGGACATCCATTTAGCCTCGACCAGAGCCAGAGCCTTTTTGGTAGAACACTCTCCCAGGCCTGTAAAACGGAGATGTTCCACTGGGCCCCCCACCACAAGAAGGGTTTCTTTGAGGAAAGCCATTAAGATCCTATAGAAGAACTATTGATCAACAGCCACACAATTGTGTCACAGAAACTGATTGTCCTACCCAATCCATTAAGCAGGAGCCTTTGTAAATTGCTCCACAGTTCCACTTGCCTAAGCATAGCTGTACTACTAGTTTAATAGGAATGTCCTCTTTCCAGGGAAGCCCAAGAATCACTGTAATGAAGTGGAGGTATTTATTTTAAGCAATATAAATCCCATACTTTATCAAACACCAAGACAGCTAACAGTCAAGCCTTACAAAAAACCAAAAACAATTACACAATAAAAAAAATCCAGTGATAATAAATCTCAACAATAACATTAGGTAAAAATATGGATGCCAGGCAACTGCCTCACACCCCCAGGAGGATTTGGATTAAGCCGTAGCGTTTTTCGCAGTTCCTAGAGTGTTGCCCCTAATGTCATGATGTCACTTCTGGTTTTCAGCAAAAGTGATGCAGTGGCAGTGCAGTACCAGCACACTCACCCCAATTCCTGCCATTCCCTCCCATTGGCCTTTCAGGTGCCAGTAAGCAATGTTGGGGATTTGCTGAGAGGTTTCCCACCATAGCAGGACACTGGGCACCCCTAGGTAAAACCACAAATTTACATGCATACAGCATAAGAGCAAAAAATAAAATTAATTTAATAATATTGAACCAGTTAAAACATCTGTTTGCAAAGCAGCAGTTCATACAGCACTGATTAAAAATCACAGCAACACTTTGCATGGCAACAATATAATTCTTCATAACCTGTAAAACCAGAGTGGCAAACCAGAAAACATTGCCAAGTTAACGAACTGGTAACCAACAAAAAGGCTTCGCTTGACACAGAAGGCACCAGGCAAGCCACCCGGGGAGGGGGGGGCTTACTAGGAGTAGCAGGGAAGCCCATCTGATGTACAGTGACACATCCACATCACTGCCTATGTGACCTGGAAGAGACATCATCACATCCGGGACATTGGATCAACACTCTGGTAATTTGGCAAAAACTCTACAGTAAATTTGGCTTCTACCATAGAGTTTTTGTCCAAATACCAGAGTGTTATCCCGACATCTTGGATATGTTTGGGGGTCCCAATTCAAACTGACATCACCGTACAATTTGATGGGAGGCAGTTAAACCTTCTCCTTGTGACATTCTCCTGATCTGAAATGGGGCCAGGGAACTGCTCTTCGCTACCTGGGGGAAACATACAAGCACCCGTATCAGTACCTGTATGTTTCCACAACAGGGTAAATACCGGCTCCCCTGAGACATTTCAGATGAAGAAATCTCCCCTCCTGTCACACCAAGCCCTGACCAGAACTGGGGCTCCTTGAGTTTAGAAACCCAGTGGGAGCTCCGATCATGGAACTATCAGCTTCTCATCTGGCCTGGCCATCAGGTAGGTAAGCCTCCCGCGATGATCTCAAAGAACAGGCCAGATTCTACATGAGCAGTTGGGCCTTCAAGGACCCTGAGGAACCACCTATTTAGGGTTGCGGAAGCTTCACGTTCCTGGGATCCCAGATCACCGCAGACTGTGACTGCAGCCATGAAATTAAAAGACGCCTGCTCCTTGGGAGGAAAGCGATGGCGAACCTAAACAGCATGATAAAAACTAGAGACATCACCCTGCCAACAAAAGTCCGCATGGTCAAAGCAATGGTATTCCCAGTAGTCATGTATGGCTGCGAGAGTTGGACTATAAGGAAGGCCGAGCGCCGAAGAATAGATTCTTTTGAACTATGGTGCTGGAGAAGACTCTTGAGAGTCCCTTGGACTGCAAGAAGATCAAATCAGTCAATCCTAAAAGAAATCAACCGTAACTGTTCCCTAGAAGGCCAGATAATGAAACTGAAGCTCAAATACTTTGGCCACCCAATGAGAAGGGAGCACTCACTGGAGAAGACCCTGATGCTGGGAAAGATTGAAGGTCAAAGAAGACGGGGACGGCAAAGGATGAGATGGTTAGACAGTGTCATAGATACAACGAACATGAAATTGAGCAAACCTCAGAGGACGGCGGAAGACAGGAGGGCCTGGCGTGATCTGGTCCACGGGGTCGCAAAGAGTCAGACTCGACTGTGCGACTGAACAACAAAAGTTTTCTGGTATCCATCCAGAATTCATTATTGCAATCCCGTACAATACATTAAATCCCACATAGGGATGCCAGCCTCCAGGGGATCCCCTATAAATTACAGCTCATCTCCCGAGTACAGCGATCAGTTTCCCTGGAGAAAACAGATGCTCTGAGGGTGGACTCTCTGGCATTCTACCCCACTGAGGGTCCCTGTCCTTTCCAGGCTCCACCCCCAAATCTTCAGGAGTTTCCCCACCCGGATCTGGCAACCCTACCCCCACATCCCCCGACAATGGCCAGGGAGGACCTGGCAGCCCTAAATCTCAGTGAGATAACAGCAAAGTCCTCTCCTATGGCACACCCAAGACCACTTTAACTGAACAGGCATAGGCACTCATTCAGCTGCACGGCCATCATAGCCTGGAGATCCTTAACAGTTCTCAGTCTGAGGGAAGTCAGAAGTTCCTCAAAGAAAGAGGATAAGAACAAGCTGGAACATAAATATTACCGTACAGCTTTCGTTTTACCACTGGCATTTTTCGGGAGCAAAGTGCAAGTCTATTCCCAGGCCTTGTTTCTCTTCCTTTTGGCCTCTGTCGCATTCTCACGGCCTCTCAACATGAACCAGAAAAAGGAAACTTACTTGGGCTGTTTCTCCATCGTCCCCTTCTCTGCCACACTCAAAATGTCAATAGCCCACTAAAGGCTGTACGTTCTGTAACTAACCCAGAAGTACATCCTCCTCCTTCAACCACCAGCCATGGTATCTGCCTCCCGTTATTGTTCACCGGCCGAGATAATCAGCCGCTGCTGCAGGGCGGGGCTCTTCAAACATAATTGTATTCATTGCTCTTCTCGCTTGGGCCAAGAATACTTAAAACCACGCAGTTCAATGAAGCAACGCAGCATCACAATTCAGGCTGGGCACTTTCTTCCAAGGGGATCCTGTGGAAGTATTCTTACTGGTTTGATGCTTAGCTGTGGCCGGTGCAGGGTTGCCAGCTCCAGGTTGGGAAATACTGGGAGATATTTGAGATGGAGCCTGAGGAGGGCAGGTTTTGGGGAGGGGAGGGACTTCAATGGGGCATAACGCCATAGAGCCCACCTTCCAAAGTGGACATTTCCTCCAGGTGAACTAATCTCTGTCGCCTGGAGATCAGTTGTAAACCCAGGAGATCTCCAGCCACCACCTGGGTGTTGGCAACCCTAGTCCAGTGGGTTTGTCCTGCGCAGCATCTTTGCCATGGGTCACTTCCTGTTTGGTTCCAGAATAAACTGCTGTGGACATATATACACAAGACTCCCCCCTCACACACCTTTTATTCAGGGGTCGTTTCGTAGAAAAGGAGCTAGGGGAACTCATTAGCATAACTCATTAGCATATGCCACACCCCCTGACATCACCAGAAATGTATCATAAGGCCACACACCCTGCCCCCAACGATTCCGGCCGCCACCGCCGGCCTTGCAGCTCCACTGCCGAGCCCCATGAGGGGCCCGGTGGTGGACCTGCAAGGCCGGCGGGAGTGCAAGGAAGCCCCGCGAAGGCCCTCCCTGGCCCCAGGCAGGCAGGGGTGGGGAGAGGCAGGGAGGAAGCAACTTACCCTCCCTCTTCTCCTGCCTCCTCCTGGCTGAATGAGGGCCGGAAGCAGGGGGCGGGGCTTCGTCATGTGCCCCACCCCCCATACCTCACCCGGGGGAACTGCGATCCCCCGTGATCCCCCCCGAAATACCTCTGCTTTTATTGCTGTATAATGTGTTTATTTGCATAACCTGTATCCCACGTTTCTGCCCTTACAAAGGCTGTGAAGACTCTGGCCAAGAATCAAATCTTCATGCAAAGGTCTGAGACCCCTTGGTGCACAGACCATTCTCCGAAACACATTTGCCAGGGTTGCCTGGGAGGAGGGAGAGATTATTACAGTCATCATTTTCTGTGTGGCAAACAGCACCTTAATGATCTATTTACGGGGTCAATTTTAAATGACGGGTTTGCCCCCTTTTATAGTTGGCAACAGATGGGGCTATAATTTCCAAGAAAAGGGAGAGGATATTAACCCTTTCCCCTGAACTATTACCTCTAATCTGCTTGTATCCCTGTTGGGGAAGAAACATGAGGACACATGTGTTTTCCCCCTAATAGGAAGTAGAAGCATCTTAGAGGTATTGAACAGACATATATGAATGCATAAAGCGGCCTTATTTTAGCCTTGTTCGCAAGTTACAGTGAATGTCTGTACAATCCATGTTCACTATACACTTGATTTTTAAAGAAATGCATGCACTGAGTAATTCTCGCGCTGCTAGAGATGCCGGCCTCCAGGTGGGGCCTGGGGATCTTTCAGAATTACAGCTCATCACGCTAGAGAGATCAGCTCACCTGGAGAAAATAGATGCTTTGGAGGATGGACTCTGTAGCATTATACCCCACTGAGGTCCCTGTCCTGCTCAGGCTCTGTCCCCAAATATCCAAGAGTCTCCCAACCTGGAGCTGGCAACCCCGCTCCCTCCCATCCCCCGCTGAGGGGACTTGGCAACCCTACACACTGTATTCAACGCATGTAAAATTAAATGAGTGATACAAACCCCACACTTATCCAGGTACTTGGTCCCCAGTTTCAGTTGCAAAATCGTATTGGCTTTTTCTTATAAAAAGATGTGCATTTGTTCATTGCAACAGGTGAACAGAGCTACTGAAATCAGAATTAAGTCAGACCTGCGATCAGGGACAACGACTGGTCTGTCAAAATCCGTCTTGTGTATTTCTGACTGGCAGTGACTCCGCAGGGATCTCAAGCAGAGATCTTTCATATAGTCTGCCCCCATTCCTTTTACCCCGAAACACTGGGAACTGAACCTGGGATCTCCTCCATGCAAAAGCCGGTGCTCTAATTATGAGCTATGGCCCAATTTTTAGCAGGACTATTGGATGGGGAGCCGAGACTTGGATTCCCCAGACTTAGGGATTTTCCCTCGGATGATTGTGGCCCCACCTGCAACGTCCCCGACGTGCTTGCGTCACTTCCGTGTGATGGGCTTGCGGCGCGCGCGCACACACGAAGACTCCCAGAGCAAGGCTGGACTCCCCCGCTCCAGAACAGGTAAGCACTTGGCAACCCTACCCAGGCTAGCCCAAACTTGGAAGCTAAGCAGGGTCAGCCCTGACTTGGATGGGAGACCACTAAGGAAGTCCAGGGTCACTCTGCAGAAGCAGGAAATGACAAAACCTCCTCTATTCATCTCTTCGCTTGAAAACCCCATGGGATTGCCATAAGTCAGCTGTGACTTGTCAGCACTTTCCACCACATGGGATGGGAAAGGGTTAAAAAGGCCCAGTCCTGCAGATCTTTTTTGGAAATCCCAGCCTATCTCCAGTACAGTTTCAGCCATATAAAAATGCTCTCAACGGGGCCTCAAGCTGACAGCTGATGCAACTGATACATACTAGATGGGGGGGGAATTATAAACATGTTTTCTATTGTTCGTCTTTAAACCTCAGGTTAAAAAACAAAAACTCTCCCAGCATGAAGTATACATTTATTTTGAGGAAAGGGAGTTTGCCATGTTTACTCTAACCACGTCAGCTGGTTTCATCTGTTAATCAAACACAGCAGGAGATATTGAGATGACAGGTGCCAAGCACGTCAATTAGCTACTGCTCCTCCAGTGGAAATATGTACACACATTCTATTGCACTTCTGAGGGATTTGGAAGACGCCCAACACCATGCATGGCCAATAGCGGACTTGAGGAACGCACTTCCTTTTCCTTCTGTTAGAAAGTGTACCGTGTTTTAAAAGGGAGAAAGAGGCAAAATGACATCTACGGGGTCTGGATTTGGTGATCCTGCTTGGAAACCAAGTGTCAGAGTTGGTGTCAAGAACTCTGCACAAACCCAGAACTCTGCACCAGATCCAGAAGTCATCACAAGATTGTTGGGGAATCTCTTGACAGAAGAGAGTTCTTGGCAAGCATCCTAATGGGAGTAAGATGACAAGTCAAGCAGAACAGCCATTCAATTAGAGCTGGGCAGTACTATGTTTTGATTATTTAGTTAATCAATTCTTCACAGTCATATGATTTTCAACACTTGTATGGAATTTTCTATATTTGTTATTTTGTTGTTGTTGTTATGAATCATTTTACATGGTTTCCAGGCTATTTTAAATTTATATAAGACTAGGAAAAAGGCTCATTGTGGAAATAAATACAACAACCTCTAGAAAGAGGCTCTGGGTGGGTGCCCCAGCCTTGGACACTTAGTGTCAATTTGCTGTGGCGACCTCAGCAGGGTATAATGACACTGAGTCCACCATTTTCTCCAGAGGAACTGATCTCTGCTACCTAAAGAACAGTTGTAATTTTGAGTGATCGCCTGCCCTCACCTGGAGATTGGCAACAATGGTTCCCCAGAAGAGAATAGTTGGTTTGGAGGGTGGAGTCTATGGCTTTGTACCTGTCCGAGGTCCCACGTCTCCTGAAACCTCTCCCTCTCCAGGCTCCATCCCTCACATCTCCAGGAATTTCCCACCTGGAGTTGGCAACCCTATCTCCTGCCCAGCCAATCATCAACCTACCTTTATTTCCCCCTCACACTTTAGCTTTCCACCCCCCCCACACCTGCAGCCTCTCCCGTACTCTGAAGCCCTGACTGCTACGTCACATTGGCTGTCATATGGGGGCCACCTCAGCAGCATATAAGGATACAGAGCCCACCATTTTCTCCAGGGGAACTGATCTCTGCCATCTGGAAAGCAGTCGTAATTCTGAGTGATCTCCAGTCCTCACCTGGAGATTGGACACATTTTACCTCAGAAGAGCAAAACTGTTTAGAATGTTAGAGGCAAAAGCCAATCAAGTCGCATATGCAAACGACCTCTGTGTTCCGAGGCAAAGGCCAATGTGGCTGCATATGCAAATAACCTCTGTGTTCTGACTGGCTATGGGGGGGGAGAGGAATGTTGGAGGCAGGACTCAGGACTCAGGCAAAGCAGCCAGTGGATAGGGAGACCCTCTGAATGACAGATCAGAGAGCGAACTGATTTTGGAGCGTGTGGAATGTTCTAGAGAAGTGCCACCACCATTCGGCTTTTATTTATAAGGGAGATTTTGAGAGAATTTGTTTACACACATTTTCTTCATAGTTCCTTTCAGACTGCGACTAGCGAATAATGTATTTTAGGGAAACAGTGCTATTGGTAATGGTATAATGTTATAATGATTTACCAAGACCTATCAATTCATTCACGTTTATATTGTCTTTAATATTTTTTTAAAATGTCTTACGTTTACTTTTCTTTCCCCCTCACATCCCTCTTCTTTTTCTGTACCCCATATAAAATTAAAATATAATATATATATTTTAAAAAATTAGAGCTGGACACGTGAACACATGAAGCTGTTTGGTGTAGTGTTTAAGAGCATGGACTCTAATTTGGGAGAACCAGGTTTGATTCCCCACTCCTCCATATGCAGCTGCTGGTATGACCTTGGGTCAGTCATAAGTTCTTTCAGAACCGTTCTCTCAAGGGCAGTTCTCTCAGAGCTCTTTCAGCCCTACCTACCTCACAGGGTGTCTGTTGTGGGGAGGGGAAGGGAAAAGGATTGCAAGCCACTCTGAGACACCTTTGGATAGTGAAAGGTGGGGTATAAATCCAATC